GGTTTTTTTTTTTTTTTTTTTTTTTTTCATTTATATACACAAGCAATATGGCTACATGGAAGTACCATTATTAGAAAAGATGGTAGTTCGAATATCTGTTTTCTACATAAGACAAAAGTATGACTGAGGTAGCGCCTCCATTGACACATCTATAACAGGCATCAAAAGGTCTTTAATCTACACAGAACATAAGCTCGGCTCCACAGTTCAATTTAAGCAAGTAATTTGACCTAGATTGTGTCTTACTGTGTTATACCCTAATTATATTGCTCTTTTATAGATTGTAACTCGTGAAGCAGTATATGATGGACAGTCAGATAGCATATTCAAAGCTTCCTTGGTGAACTGGGCCCTTCCTTTTATGCAGCGTTACTTGTACTGTGTCCATCCTGATAAATATCTTCAGCTCAAGCAATCTGGATTTGATAATATAAATAACCTACAAATTGTTGTTGTTGACAAGTTATACTACAGGAATGTTATAAAGAGATTTGGCATAATATCCAATAAGCGAATTAAATGTAGCTGTCTTCTACAGGTATGAAATGATTTTCTGTTTTTGCAATCCATATGGCTTAATTGGAATTAAACTTCTTATGATATTGGTAATGTTTATAACATGTAACATCTCAAGATTCATGTAACTCCTCACAGCTATTTTCAATGTTATATTCTTGGAAGAGTGAATGGCATGCAAGAAATAAGTTATTTTCTTTTGTATAAATATTTTTAGTAATTTCATTTTTACATAACCCAACAGCTGCATGATATTTGTAGTGAAAGGCTGTGGTGGAATTTTGGTTATAAAGTAGCATAGGTTTTTTTTAAGCCATAAATATAGTGGGATAGACATCATCATTATTTTCTTTCATCCTAACGAGCATTTGGCAAATATATATATATTTTTTCGCAGGATAATATTTTGTACACAACTCTTGAATCAGATTCACATGCCCTATTTATGGAGCTCTCACGATTACTATTTGACCGAACTCCTGACTTGCATTTGGCAAATTTCCTTCACATGATCACAACCATGGCACAATCTGGTTCCACTGAGGAACAGGCCGAGTTTTTCATCTTGAACAGCCAAAAGGTGGCAAAGCTTCCTGATAAGGAATCTGTTTGGTCCCTTTCTTCAACACTTTCTTTGGCAGAAAACAATGAATTTCCGGAGGCAAGTTCTGCCTCTGATGTACCAAATGGCCAACCCACTAAGAAGTCCAGGAGGAAGAGTGGAAACTTACCAAGTTGGCCACCTGTTGATTGGAAAACAGCACCAGGTTTTAGCAACGAGCTTGCAAATGGGTTCAACAAAACACAGTCAATTGCTCAACCTAGTAATGGCTCAGGAAAGAAAAGGTATGATGGTTCTGAGGGCGTTGACTCACCAAACAGTGGTTTTCCACTTGAGACCAATGCCAATCCATCCATTGGAAACCATTCAGCAGCCTCAACTGTTGTAGTTTTGCCAGACTTTGATATGGATGGTCAATTAAGCAATGCTTGTGATCCAACCGAGTCCAGTGTGAAAATATCAATTGATCCAGCTGACTTGAGCCTGCTGCCTGATGACCTTAAGAATGGCTCATTGGAATTAAGCAATAGAGATCAGCATAATGGTGGTTTAAATTCATTTGGATCTAAGCTAATCCCAACTCATCTGGGTCAGCCTTATTCTGAGTTCAACTCATCTGGATTTAGCCAGAGAGATCAACTTCTTATTGGAACGCCAAATTCAGCACAAGCATTGCGAACTGGGAAACTTGGGGAGCTGGTAGCTTTCAAGCACTTTAGTTGCAATTTAGGTAAGACGGTGAAGTGGGTTAATAAAGATAATGAAACTGGGTTACCCTACGACCTTTTAGTAGAAGATGAGGGAGGCTGTTTTGAGTATATTGAAGTTAAAGCAACCAGATCTGCAAGGAAGGACTGGTTCAATATATCAACAAGAGAGTGGCAGTTTGCTGCTGAAAAAGGTGAAGCTTTCTGTATTGCACATGTTTTACTAAGTGAGACGAATGCTAGGCTCACAATATACAGGAATCCAGTAAAACTTTGTCAGCATGGCAAGTTGCAGTTAGTTGTTTTGATGCCAAGGCAGTAATTTCATCCATGACTGGAGTAGAAATTGATACTTATGTTGGCTATCATTTTCTGATTCTGAAGAGAATCTCCAAGTTGATTACTTTGGTCTGTGGAGGACATTGTTAATTTCCAAACCGAAAAACCTTGAAGGTACAGACTACAGCAGAGTGATGTTATTGGTTATGAATTATGATACTGCTAATGTTGTTTGGTGAAGACAGATCTCTGCTTGGCTGCTCTTAAAGGATTTCAGTTCGGAAAGATAGGGATTTGACACTAGGCAAGGCTTGATCCGGAGCACAGATGGGCCTCAAAAGATTATATACAATCAGACTTTTTCCAGAATTTCCTGTGTTTAATCACTTTTTAGGCTCATCAAAGATGTCACTTGTCACAGCAATATGTTGTACCATTGGTTACACTCAATCTTGCCCATGTATCTTTTTTCCTTTTAAGCTGTGTACAGTCTTGCACAAAAATAATTATTTTGTTTCCCAGCAATAGGAGGCGGAAGTAAAGTACTTGACATTTCTTTTTCTTTAGATCTGCTGAATTTTTTCATCATATATATATATATATGTATATATTTGAACTGGTTTTCGGGTCAAAGGGATTCGTTCTCAAACTTTAAGGTATTTGGGTTAATTGGCTGGGGTTTCAAATCTCATTAACACTTTGAAAAATCTTTCTTTCTCTCTCAATTTCTTAAATTGTAAACTGTTCAAATATATATATATATATATATTTCAAAGCCTCTCTCCTAACCCTCAAATTGTAACTTGAAAATATATATTACAATTGAGGGGAAAGAGAATTCAAACTCTAATTTTAGACCAGGAAGGTAGTTTATGATGAGAAATATAATTATCGATTTATAAAATGTTGGTATTTCTCATTTTATATAACGAAAATATGATTGCGAGACAATGATCTTTAGAAAGAAAATGAAATGAGTGTAATGTTAAGTGACACTGAAATTTTATAATCTTATCGGATAATTTAATATTTTTTATTTAAAAATTTACTTATAATAATTTATGGTTTTAATAATTTAATGACATTATTAAAAAATAATAATAATTTAATGACATATTACGAGAAACTGTCTTGAAGCTTACTTAATTTGGCTAACCTGCCTATTTAGTCCTTAATATTCGAGAAATATTTGATTTAGTCCCTGAAGATTGAATTGTAACAATTTATGGCTCTAACGGTTGTTGTATTGGACGGAAATCATCAACGTTTATAAGACCGAAAAAGGCCTTCATCTTCTTTTTCTTAGGAAAACCCTTTTGCTTCTGTCTCTGCGTTCTGCCTCGGCATCACCAATGGCAACCGCTCGCTCCTCGTTCAGGACCATCAGTCGAGCCCTCCTCCGGCCCTTCTCCACCAAAGCTACCCACCACAACAACCACCGGCAGACCCACAAGTTCATGGAGTCGAATTCCTTCTTGGGGAGCTGGGAGGCCCCCAGGAACCCCAAAGAGGCGGAAAGGAAGCTTGCCCAATTGAGAAGAGACTACGCCAAGCAGGTCAAAGGGATCCGCAAGCAATACATTCACGAGATGGAGCTCTTGAAGCTCGAGAAGCTCAGGAAGGAGGAGGCAAGGAAAGAGGCGATGAGAGCTGCCAATGAGGAGCGTAAGAAGCTCAAGGCTGAGGCTGCTAAGGTTAGAGCTGAGGAGCGTAAGGTTGCGGAAGAGGAATTTCGGCGGACCCTGGTATGTGTCCGTTAAATACCTTTAATATATTTTGTGCCCCTTGAATCTAGTTAGAGCATGATGAAAACTGAGTATTCTGAAATGGATTTTTTTAGTTTTTTTGTTCAATCTTCACCTTTTGTATGTGGCTTTTCAATTTGGTTGATGAGAAAATGTGGGCAGGAATCTGGGGATTGCTGGGATTTATTTATTTATTTATTTTTGTGTATTTGCTTGTAAATGAAAAGAAACATTATTCCTACTATTTGGTTAGGCAAAAAGTAATGTGAAATGGTTATCAATTTGGAGATTTATTTTTGTTAAATTCGTTGGTCAATTGATTAGTAGATGGTAATTCTCTTGAAGAAGAATTGAGATTGAAAACAACAATATTGTAGCTTTTGTGCCTTGTGCTTTTAAAATGAGAATAAAGTTGAAACTCAAGATTTCAAGTTATGGATGGTTTGTTCCAGTACTATGTTAGCTTGTTGGTTGAAACCTTTAGTGTGCATAATGGAGTAATGGTTACCTTGATTCTGTTGATTGTCAGCATTTGGCTCTGCCTTATTCACTTGAGATGATAATTCTTTCTGCTATAAGTTAAATAGCATAATCTTCTGAATTCTGATATCAGCAGCAGCTAGCAAGCTCAAGATTGGATGACACTGTCAAAAAAATTAACAAGTGGAGTATGCATGTTGATAAGACACGCTAACATAAAATCTTCTATGCTAAAAATAAAAATGCTGTACCATAGTATTGTCTACAATATCAAGGCTGGAAAACCAGCATTGTGCGGAACCTTCCAGGCTTCAACATTATATTCCTAAAGCTCAAGTTCTAGACATGACTATGGCACTGGTAAATGTAAATTTTAATTCCTGCTTGCAGATCTTCTGTAGAATTCCTACTGAATGCATTTTATGACTTGGATTTATATCTTGATTGAATGATCAATAGAATAGAAGGATGACATTTCAGTATAAGGAGACTTTTCAGTAGAAGAAAATAGATTAATACCATGACAGTTCCAGTGCTAAGTCT